TTTGGAGTTTTCAAAAAAAAGGATAAATAGGCCTAAAATGAGTGTTTGAGGGGATTAAACTGATGATCATTCTTTCATTTGAAGGATTCACTTAGGGTTTTTGTCATTTCATTTTCCCATGCTTCCCTCTCAATTATTCATTTTTTTATCCTTTATTTCTTTTTGTTTTTCCCTTTATTTTCTTTATTTTTTTTTCTTTTTCTTTGAGTGGATTTTAAACTTGGAGACCTTTTGTTGGACATTTTGACTTAAACATATAAGGTTTTTTAACCTCTTAAATGTATCTTTTTTGTTCATAGTGTAGAAAGTAATCATTGGTTAGGGTTTAGTTTGAAAGAATTTTAGCATACTCAAAAAGGTAATAGAAGATAAATTTTTATATTTATGGAGGGATGATAAAAGATGACCATTTATCATTTCAAACATAGTCATGCAATCAATATTTGGCTTGACTATCCAAAAAATATATCCTCAGTGGGGTCATCAAGCTGTCACGATGCGTAGGTCATGGAACCCAACCATTGAACATAGGGAATGAAAATAAAATAGGTTTAAAAAGCATTTTTAATAAAAATTAAAACCAAGAGTAGCTGCCAATCTTTTTTAGGATGTGATTAACCACTCAAAAATTTTATCTTTTTAATAAAACATTTAAAATGAGTTTAAAGTTTATTAAAAAAAATTTTGGTCTACGAAAATTAGAATCGAGTTTGGGAGTTGATTATGCATGGAAATGGAACCCAACCGTTGAACTTAGAGAATGGGAATAAAATGGGTTTAAGAAGCATTTTCAATAAAAATTAAAATCGAGAGTAGCCAATCTTTTTTAGGGTGTGATTGACCACCTAAAAATTTTATCTTTTTAATAAAACATTTAAAATGGGTTTAAAGTTTATTAAAAAAAAATTTTGGTCTACGAAAATTAGAATCGAGTTCGGGAGTTGATTATGCATGAAAAATGATTAGTATCCCAAAGTGCCCTTCGAAAATAATACCAATTAATTATATGTTATTCTTAGATTTTGGTAAAATTGGTCTTATTTTACTGTTTATAAACTAATTCCTTTGATTATTTCAAAAAGCTGAATCTTTTTTTTTATTAATTTCCTTTTAAAAGCAAATCATTTTAAATTTTCAAAGTAAAATAATTCATTTTTGCATCAAGATGAAAAAGTCTTAAGTATCAAGACACTTATTCCACTCTCCTATATTTAAGTAAAGCTTCAAAAATATCTATAACTTATAAGTTTTCAAATTGCCCCTACAAAACCAAGATAACATCTCGTATAAATAATAATCATTGAGAGTTCACCTATATTTCAGCCAGATTCTTAAAAGTTATATTTATTTGAGACATTATCTTATTTTTAAAACATTTTTCTTTTAAAAAGACTCGTATATAAAACATATGCACAGTATAAATGAACATAATAACAATGTATGATGAATGCATGATACTTAAACATGAATGGCAAAGTATAAATGCATGACAATTCAAGAATGTATATAACAAAAAAATAAAATGCAAATGCAAATGCATGAATGTGATCAAGTTGGTTTTAGGGTTCGAGGGTTGGTTTAGGGTTTAGGGTTGGTTTAGAGTTTGGTTTAGGGTTTAAGTTGTAGGGTTTAGGTCTAGTATTAGGATTTAAGGTTTAGATTTAGGGTTTGGGTTTAGGGTTTAGTTTTAGGGTTTAAGTTTGGGGTTTAAGATTCAAGGTTTAGGATTTTGGTTCTAGGTTAACATTGAGGGTTAGGGTTTAGGGTTTAGTTCTAGGGTTTAGGTTGGGGTTTAGGGTTTAGATTTAGGATTTAGGTTTTAGTTTAAGGTTTAGGGTTTAAGGTTAGGTTTAGGGTTTTATTTTAGGGTTAGGGTTTAGGGTTTAGGGTTTGGTTCTAGTGTTTAAGGTTTGGTTTAGGTTTTGTTTTAGGGTTAGGGTTTAGGGTTTGGTTCTAAGGTTTAAGGTTTGGTTTAGGGTTTGATTTTAGGGTTTACAGTTAAGGTTTAGGGTCTATATTAAGTTTAGGGTTTAGGGTTTAAAGTTTAAGGTTTGGTTTTATGGTTTAAGATTTAGGTTTAGGTTTTGGGTTTTGGGTTTAGGGTTTCAAGAAAAATGGATGTGACAAAATAACAAAAATGGCATTAATAAAAATGCAAAGTTTAATGCATAGAACATGTATGAAAAAAGAAAAAACATGTTAAAAACTTAGGCATATTTATAAATATATTACAAATTAAACATGCATACAACAATATGATCAAAATATATCAAACACTAAAGTTTTAGAAACCAAATAAAGTTTGGCAAACCATTTTATGGGAGAATTTGTTGGCAAAAAACTTAATACATATCTCCATAATTTTTGTTCTGAATCAAACACATGCAACAACATAAAGTTACCAAAAATTTTACTAATTCATCATTTTTATTCATTGAAGATTTCATCAAACTCATAGAAAACATAAAGAATAAATAAAAAAACACAAGCAAACAAGCATAGCATGAGCAACATTTAGCTACAAAGAACAAGTGGGAGATTTGGTCAAGCATGGGAAAGTTTGGCCAAATGCTTTATTTGGAACATGCAACATTTCATCTAGCTAGAACATGTACCAAACATCTACAAAACTATCATATGAAGGCATTTTCATTATTAAAAAAATTTCATCAAACATATAACAAACTATCTAAAAGAAAATCATAAAAACATAAATATAAGCCAAACACATCATGCAAGGTACTAAAATAATAAACACTCATGCAAATAACAAGTAGTATAACATTCAAATCATCCACATTCATTATTCAAAGGAAGAAACACATCTAAAATAACCCAAAAGAGGTTCGACCATGAAGGATCACAAGCTTGGCCAAACCTCTAAATGAGCATTTAAGGTGGATTTTTTATGTACCTTGATTTTTTTGCTTTAATCCAAACGAATGATTAGTTGGTTGAAATTTTGGATCAAGTTTGGAATTATGGAGACAAACAACTACGGAGAAAGTCATTTCATCAAAAGAACAAAAAAAAAAAAACAAAAAGAAAAATTAAAGGATTAAATAATATGAAAATTATGGAAAAATAATATGAAATGGTATGAAATGCAGTAAGATATATAGTAAAAATTATACTTACAATGGAGCACCTAATTTTTTCCTATTTTATCCTCATTTTTTCTCCTCCACCCCATTGCCTTGGCTACCTCTTTTTTTCATCCCAGCCCTAAATGATGAATTTATAACCCAAGCAATGCATGATAGCCTTTTGATCTTATTTTCATCTAAAAGTTATTATTCTTCTCTTGCTTACTTCCCAAGCAATGAACTTTCCCCTTAGATGAAGGACTTTAAAAGATCAATGGTTTCAGATGAATCCAACAAAAAATGAGGCTTTAAGTGTAACTGAAAATATGTGAAATGACCAAATTGCCCTTTTGAAAGTTTTTACGTTTTTATGCAATTTTTAAAAAAAACCATGATCTCTTTTTCATTTTTGTGATTTTAAAGCACGGACAATCTTAGAATAATATGAAATTATGATATGAATGTTTTTGTGAAAAATCAACATCGAAAAGGTCAAATTACAAAAATATCTTTAAAGGATATTTTAATAATTTCACACATTTCGAGGTGTAATCAAGGTTTTAATGCACAAAAAATCTTAAAATAATTACAAAACATGATCAGGAATGTTTTGCAAAAACTAACATAAGAAAATCAAATTATAAAAATACCCCTAAAAGGTATTTTAATAATTTCACACCTGTTGAGGTACGATTGAGGTTTTTAATATACCAAAAATCATCAAATATTATCAAATCATGATATGGAGCTTTTTGTGAAAAGCGAACCTCGTGAAGGTCAATTTACGAAAATACCTTTAAAGGTATTTTTGTAATTTTACATCTTTTAAGGTGTAATCAATGTTTTCAATACATCAAAGATCATAAAATAATTTTTAATTATGATTTGAAAGTTTTCACAAAAAACTAACTTTGAGAAAGTTAAATTATGAAAATGTCCCTAAAAAGTATTTTGATAATTTTATCCTTTCCGAAGTACAATCAAGATTTCTAGTACATAAAAAATCACCAATTTCATTTCTTAGCCTTGTTAATCCTATTTGATTGTGAATATTGAAGATTGCCTCAAATTCAATCTAGTTTGACTAATTTTAATCAATTTTGATTAAGTTTGACTTTGGGACATTTAGGTTAAATTAGCCCAAAATTCGATTTTGAAAACTTATCAAAATTAAAGAGATATTAGATTTGAATCGGGTTAGATTTTAATAGCCTCACAACTAACTAAATTTTATCAAAATAAAATTAGATATCTACAACTACTACCTTAAAAAATCCTTAATAAACTCGAATCAATCACAAATGGTCTTAAATATTAATGAACAATCACACGCAAATACACATTTGTTTAATTTTTTGCTCATTTACAATCTTAAGCTTGAATCTTAAGACGAAATTTAAAATATGTTTGAATGGATAACACAAATAGTGGGATGCTTCCCTGCATTACAACTCTAATCAATTGTTATTCAATGAAAAGAAAGGTTTAGCTAAGGTCTAGTAAAATGGTATTGTTCATTTAAATATAATTTTATTAGATGAGATAGAATTATTTTTTATTATATAATTCAATATTACATGTAAAAAAATACTATCCCATTTAATTTTAAAAAACACTACCAATAAATTCCAAAAAAAAAAATAATAATACTACCCATTTATAATGTTGAAGAAAAAATGAATGGCTTATTGGGGAATAAAATTCTTAAATTCTTTTAATGGCCGTATTAAAAATTTTCAAGTTTACAAATTAAAATTTTTCCAAGCCATGAAAGTTATTTTTTACTTCGGCTCCAAACAATCATTCGGAAACAACCCTAATTGTCCGCCACAAAGCAAACATAGAATTGACAACTAAGCAATTAAATCAAAGGAGTCACATCTAAATTAGCACAAAATACACTACCAAAATAAATATTTCCCTTCGAAGAAACGGACCACATCTCCAAAATTCCAAAACATGAAGGATAAAAAGAAAATCGGTCAAATCTTGGTCGTCAATCTCTAATCGTGAAAATCTAACCGTCCAGAGACTCTTTCCCCCTATAAAATCAACCATTAGCCCCCACATTGCGTCAGATGCTTCCAGATCTCGGTGTTACGAACCAGAAAAAAGGGCACAAAGATTTCAAAGCAATTTAATCTAAATTTTTGGTTTTAGATTGAAAAACGAAAAAAGCTAAAGAAATTAACGGATCAATATTTCGTTTGAATCTGGCGACAAACTTCAACTCTGAAACTGCAAAATTAGGGTTTCTTCTTTCATTCTAGATTTCTTTGATTTCGTTTCTTTTGTTTTTAAAAAATGAATGATCAGTCTCAGATGATGAATCAGCCACCGCAAATGATGATGAACCCGGTTCATGTTCAAGTTCCGGTTCAGCATCAGATGATGAATCAGTCTCATCAATTGATGGCGGCGGCTCACTCTCAGTCGATGAACCAATCGGCGGCGGCTCAGTCGCAGCCGATAAGCTCAGGTCCTCAGATGATAAACCAGGCACCTCCCCAGATGATGTTGACTCGAAGCTACAAGCCTTGGCAATATCCGGACGCAAATCCTAACCCTAACTCGAACAAGAAATTCCCCTCTTTCAATCGTAATAACAATTGGAAGGGCAAAAATGTTTCCGCCGGTAAAGATTCTAGAAAGTTCGATAATAAGCCTTTATCCATGGGTTCTGTTTCTGGTATTTCTTCTGTTTCCGCTGCTTCGGGTGGTAGTACACAAGGGTACAAACCTCCAACTCTTAACGAGCTCCAATCTCAGAATCGGTTAAAAGCCAGAAAATTCTACGGCAACAAGAAGAAATTCAGCAACAACAACAATAACAACAACAACCGCTTTGCTCCTTACGCGCCGCGGAATACAACTTCGTTTATAATACGAGCGAAAAAGTCGGGTGGGATAGCGTCCTTAGTGTCCCCATATCCGGTGACGCCTGCGGTGCTTCCTACGCCAATCTTTTCACCGTCGAGGGAGGTTTTGGGTGATATGGCCAAGGAAGAATGGGGTGTGGATGGTTATGGGTCGATGAAAGGGTTGATTCGGCTTCGATCACCAGAAGTTGGTCATTATGATGAGGAAGATGAGGACGGGGGACATGGTGGAGGATCAAGTGACAGCGATGTGGAAGAACACGTGGAAGTGGAGAGGAGATTGGACCATGATTTGAGTAGGTTTGAGATGATATATCCAAGTTATGGAGGTGATTATAACAATGTTTTGGAGAATAGAGTGGATGATCAAGATACCCATATAGCTCAGTTGGAAGAAGAGAATTTGACATTGAAGGAAAGGCTGTTCTTAATGGAGAGGGAATTGGGGGATTTGAGGAGGAGGTTACAGTTTTTAGAGAGGCAGAGTCAGGTACCTGAAGATGTTAACGAGGAGGTTGTGGAGAATGGGTCTGATAATGAAAGTGAGGGTGGTGGTTCTGATGTTAGGGTGGTTACTGGTCTTCCTGATCATAACAATGTGGAAATTGTTAAGTTTGCTGCTGGAAATACTAGAAATGTAGATGTTATGCACGAGGATAATAATGGTGATATGCCAAGGAGTGAAGGTATAAGGGATGTTTGTATGGATGAGATTGCAGCGGCTGATGCTGTTGCAGGAGAAGATGAGCTAAAGAATGAAGGAAGAGGGGATGATGGATTAAAGGGTCAAACTTTTAGGGAGGAAATAGTTCGAGACAAGGAAAATGAGGCCCCAGGCGATGAAGCAGGTGGAACTGAGTTTGTGGGGGAGAAGATTGTTGAAGAAGAGAAAGATGAGTCGAGGCGTGAAGAAGCTAGGAATGAAGCTGCTGACAACAATGAAACAGAGTATGAGGAATTGCACTTGTGAAGAACATTGGCGACGGTGGCTAGTAGTTTAACTTACCCGTGATAATGTAAGTCTGTTCTCAGAACATTGGGAATCTTTTGATTATGGTTATTGAAAAAAGCAATGTCTGGATATATGCGGCTTAAGTAGATTTAATGTAGTAGTATAGTTCTTAATGTTCTTCTGCATTTTGTTAGTTTAACAGGGAAAAGGGAGGATGAATTGGCTTTGTTCTCCTTTCTCTTCCCTCATATGATTTAGAAAGTGGCTTCCTTTCTAGCTTTTTATTTTTATTTTTTTATTTGGAAAGGGATAACAAGGGCGGAAGGGGTGGGGGTGGGGGTGGGGGCTGTATTTTCTTTAGCTGGTAGACTGGTTATCCAGGAATTGATTTCAATTTCTTTAAGGTTTGAAAAGGAACCTTCTAGTATGTAAGGTAAATTTGCTACTGATGTACTTGCATTTCTTTTGCTTAATGTCATAAAACTTCTTAACATGTTTATCTCTCTGTGTACGGTCCTATATACTTGTATATTTCAAAAATGTATAACGGTTTGATTCATTTGGGTCATTCTCTTTTCTTATTTCTAAATAAATGAACATATTGTCTAATTAATTCTGGTTTTTAAATTGACAAAGTTGACCTGATTGGCTTGTCTTCTGTTATTACTATGATTATGTCATTTAAAAAAAAAATCTTATGGATGATCTTTCCCCTTGATTGCATGCAAAACTTCACTCTTCATCATATGGATGAGTAAGTTGTAACTTGTTATCTATGCTTGATTGTGTATATGTGAAAAAGGAGAATATATTTGTTCCATTTGATTCTGAATTTGATACTGCTGAACTTAGGTAACGAGCTGTGGGATGGTGTGCTTCTCTGCTAATTGGTTAATTTGTACTATGGAGTAATTGTTTAACAACTTCATTTTGCCTTTTTTTTTCACATTTATATTGTCGATAGTTCATAGTATAGCGTTAAAAATGTTGCAATGAAGTCTGCCTTCCAAGAATGATAATGGAAGAAAAGGTCTCATCTATGTCTAATTTTCTTTTCACTTTATAGTATGTGCTCAAATTGGGGTCTAATACTGGCCATTCTTTTTTTCTCTGAACTGATGAAAGAAATAGTTCTGTCATTGGGTTTTATAGGGGAGGCTGATAATGGTTGATTATGCACAAAATTTTATCTGGTTAAATGCCTGGAATACTCAATCAATCTCCTCTTGTTAATTTTATGTATTCACGGGCTTTTTCATGTCAGGGCTCGGTAACCACGTTGAACCTTCCCCTTCCCCTTCAGAAGGGGTTTTCCCAGATGGAAGAGGTGGGATAAAAGCTGGAAATGCTTTGGCTTTCCTGGGGCAATTTAGATGGCCTTACCTTTCCTCTGAACAAATACGGTTGTGGGCTTGTATAAGCTAGTTCATAATTTTTTTGGGAATGGCAAATGACTAGGAAGGAGGATATTTGCGGATTGCAGGTATAGGAACTGGAATGGTAAAACCTAAATCTTGGCCTTTGTAACAGCTTCATCTGTTGCATCAGCTGCAAACTTTGGAGGTTTAGTTTCTTTTTGATATTGAAGTTTTGCCCAGTTATAAAAACTGACTTCTGTGCTCCTTGTAGTAGTAATCTGTTTTTAGTATTCAATGATTTTGTCCTAAAAACCAAAATGTTTTTTGCTGTGTATCGATCCATTATTCAGATAAGGATCTTATGAGGTTGCCATAAACTTGTCAGGTCATTCTGTTTGTTGTTTATGGATTATCAGCATGTTTGAACATTTGAAAATGTGCTTGTTTTGGGTGGATATTTAACTGCTTAGGTTTGTCATGGATAAGCTAGAAAGAAACATCTGGATCTTTATGAAGTAAGGCTTGTATGAAGTGATTAATATGGTTTCAAATTAAGACACTGTGTATGAATGCTCCATTTTCTTTTCAGCCAACTGCTTGGCACTGGCAGTACATCAAAGATTACCTAACAATGTAAGAGTTTTAATGTTTTAAAAAAAAGGGATATAGTTTTGGGAAATCAAAAAAAAGAGAGATAGGCTAAGAAAATGTGACATTTTTGGGGCATTCAGAAAAATAAGGGTCCACAGATACAGTGATTCTGATTTCAAGCGAGACTTCCTCGCCCTTCTCTATAGCTTATACCCATTTTATGCATAAAAAAAAAAAAAAAAAAAAAGATTACGATGCTCGAAGAAAATGGGATAGAGAGTAATATTCAATATGTATTGAAATTTTAGTTCAAAGATATGGTTGAGAAATTCTGTAAGACTTTGTTTTAGAATGTAAGTGAGCCAAGTTCCCTTGTATTCGAGTTCAAGGTTGCTTATTAAATAAGTTTTGGGAATTTGGTTCGAAGTTGATTATATATATGCCTTAGCAAATGGAGTACCTTGACGTGTTAGTCAGCCATTCTTGGAGTAGATTGGTTAGTTTAGATCTTTAGTAGTTATAATCATATGTCATCAAAATTTAGGTAAAAACGTCTTCATACAATTCTCATTCATCTTTATTTATTTATTGATTATTTTTAGGCATGATTATTATATATGCAAATCTCATTTGAAGAGAGGTGAATTGACTACTGATTCGGTTTTGTAAGTTACCATACAGCATGAAATAGAATAAAAGATTAAAACATATAAATTCATTTTACAATAAGAAAGAAGCATATTAAAAAGGAGTATTAAAAGTATAATCCATAAAATAAAACGACATACTAATTAATACAAATAAAAATGTAAAAAATTACATTTATTCATTTCTATTAAATTACTATAGTTTTCAATGATTTCAAAATTCAAATATAATTCAATATTAGTAATTTTAAGTACTTTTAGCATAAAATTTTACTATTTATATAGGTTTGGTTAGACTCGTTATTAAAAATATTTTGATTATTTTTTCAGTTATCAAATTATTTTTTAAATCGAACAGATCCATTGTTCATCTCTACTTATATAGGAGGAAATTCAATTAACTTGACTTAGTCTTGTATTAACTTAAGAGGCACTAAATTCTTATCTACTTTCAATCTAATTTAAATGGGCTGCATATATATATATATATCCTATCCTTTGTACAAATGTGTGTTTATGTACACAAGTTAAAGTAGGACTTTCACTACAAATCTTCAGCTTTTGTTATTCTATTATATGGCATTAGAGCTCTAGGTTCCAGCAAGTCAATTTTTATTTCTACTTCAACTTGTATTTTTTCACTGTTTTTTAATCATGGCCACTCAAACCTGTCGTACCTCATCAACCAACAATGCTGCTACAAGCCAAACTCAACTCTCATCCACTCTTCTAGCCTCTGTCACTGTCTCTCTTAATCAAAACCAACTAGTCACCATTGATGCCTCTGCCCAGATTCCTATAATTCCACTCTCTTCTTGACTATAAACTCTTTAGCTATGTTGATGGTTCTTTGCCATGTCCTAAATTTATTCCCAAGGATTGCTCCGCATCTACTCCATAAATGGTACCAAATCCAGCATATAAGCACTGGATTAGACAGGATCAGCTGCAGCTCAATGGTATTATTTCTTCTGCATTAGAATCAATTATTCTTTTTGTTGCTTCAGCTCAAAAGACCAAGAAAATGCATGCTAATAAATCTAGATAACGGATGATGAATTTAAGGGAAAAACTTATCAAGCCTAAGGGTACAGCCCCTGTTTCCGAATATTTTCAATCTTTAAGTAGAATTTCTGGTGAATTGGCTCTCATTAACAATCCTGTTAGTGATGGTAACTTGGTTATACATGCCTTAAATGGTGCTGGTTCTGAGTTTAATGATATAACAGTTGCTATTAGAGCTAAGAAGTCCGCATTTCCTTTAAGAATTGCTTGAGAAACTCACAGATTATGAAGCCATGAAACAACAGACTCCTGCTGTTCTCTCTGCTTATTATGCTGCAAGACCTTCCTCTTTTCATCGTGACAAATACAAACACACTCGGTTCACCCCTGCTCCTGCTGGTCCTACAACTAAATTCACTTATGTTGTACGAAACTTTAATCCTAGTCATCAGCCTACTATTAAAGTTACTTGTGAATACTGTGACAAGATTGGTCATTCAGCCAAGCTATGCTTAAAAATCAAGCCAAAATATCCAACAGCAGCAGCTCATCATGCATCCACTGTTGCTTCAACTCAAAGTTGGTTAATTAATATTGGTGCATTCCATCATGTCACTTCTGATCTTCAGAGCCTAAATGTATCGTATGAATATGGAGGTCCTGAAGCACTCTACATTGGGGAAGACACTGACATTCCCATAACTCACACTGGTTCCCCATCTTTAATCTCTTGCTCTCACTCTTTCCATTTAAATAATGTTTTATTTGTTCCTAACGCACATAGAAATCTTATTTCAGTTTCTCAATTTTGCAATTCTAACTTAGTTTCCCTTGAATTTTTTCCCACATATTTTTAGGTGAAGGATCTCTAAACGAGTACGCTTGCTCGATGCCTGAATAAAGGTGGTGCATGCGTTTCCACAAACAGAGCCCAGTCTCACAACTCCTGCACTTGCGTCAGTCGGCATTAAAGCACCTTCCTCTGTTAGGCATCATAGACTTGGCCATTCTTCTATAAGTTGTCAGTAAATAATCTTTACCTTGTTCCTCTTCCATGTCTCCTAGTTTGTGTAATTCCTGATGTGAAGTTGAAACTCTTTCTCGTAAACAGACATGGGATTTAATTCCTCCTCCTCCTAGTAGGATAATAGTAGGATACAAATGGGTTTTCAGGGTGAAAAGGAATCCATATGGTACTGTCTCAAGGTAGAAGGCTAGATTAGTTGCTAAAGGGTTCAACTGGAGACCTGGTTTGAATTATTCTGAGACGTTTATCTTATTATTAAGCCTGTGACAGTAAGATTGGTTTTATGCACAGCTGTTTCAAAGGGCTGGCCTCATCATCAATTAGATGTTAATAATGCTTTTCTACAAGGGATTTATCAGAAGAGGTATATATGAAGCAACCACCAGTTTTTACTGACAAGAACAGGACTAATTTTGTTTGTAAACATAAAAAGGTCATTTACGGTCTGAAATAAGCCCCAAGTGAGCCTTGAGTTTATAGCTTTCTTCAAGCTCTGTTTGACATTTCTATCGAGGATCTAGGCAATTTGAACTATTTGCTTGGAGTTGAAGTTATCGCCAGTTCTATAGGACTGTTTCTTTCCCAACACAAGTATACTATTGATATCCCAGACATGACCAACACGATTGGTGCTAAAGAAGCAACTACTCCTCTTTCTACTTCAGTCTCACTTAGTTTATTTGATGGTTCTCCTGCTGCAAAGAAAGACGATTTCAGAAAAATTGTTGGTGCTTTGCAATCCTTATGTTTCACCCGTCTTGATCTAAGCTTTGCTATTAACAAACTCTCCCAGTTCATGCATAAACCAACACAAACACGTTACACATCACATAAAAGAGTTTTCGTTTATCTAAAAGGAACTTCGTTTCATGGTCTCTTTATCAAGAAGGTAGCTTAGCTCCCTTGCAACTTACTGTATTTTCGGGTTCTGACTGAGCAGGGAACGTGGATGATAGCACTTTAGCTTCAGCCTATCTTACATATCTTGGAAGAACTCCTCTCTCTTGGAGCTCTAAAAGGCAAAAAACAGTCGCCAGGTCTTCAACAGAGATTGAATATCGAGCTATAGCAGCTGCAATTTCAGAATTTACTTGGATTCAGTATTTGCTCACTGAATTGCATTTTTCATTACGCTATAAACCTATAGTCTAATGTGACAACATCAATGCTACCTATACCTGCAGAAATCCTGTTTTTTCAAACCACAATGAAGTACTTAGCTCTTGATTATTTTTTTTGTTCAAGAAAAGGTTTCTCAAGGCCTATTGACAGTGAAACACATTTCCACGGTGAATCACTTAGCTGATGCGCTCACCAAGCCTTTATCTAAGGCTAGGCTGTGTCACCAATGGTTCCGTCATCTTGGGGGGAATATTCGAAGGAATTCACAGATTACCTCCGTAAATTCAAATAACTTGAGTGACATAGCCTTGTATTAGCGTAACAGGTATTCTGTTCTTATGTACCTTTAAACTACTTTAATAGGCTGTATATATACCCTATCCTTTGTACAAATTTGTATATAAACACTGATAAATACAAGTTTAAGTAGGACTTTCTTTACAGATCTCCTGCTTCTATTATTCTTTGATATTGTACCAAAAATACCAAACCCTGTACTTCAAATTTACTATCCAATGGCTTGCAAGCGTTTATGCATTAATCAATCTTACAAGTCTGAAGTTTTAGGAATAATTGATTTGCAAAAGTTGTTGTTAGTAATAATTAGTTTACAATTTGGTTGCAGCTGTTGAATTTTTTATACAAAGATTGATAAATCACTTATGTTAAATATATAGTTCTTGTTTCTGAATAAAATCAGCTTCGTTCAAAGGAAAAGGAAAAGGGTTGATGTTGATTATGCCCATTCCCTCCCTTCACCTTTAGCAATTCACTAGGCTCCCCTGTATAAGACCAACTTAGTACAGAAGTCTGCTAACACATTAGAGAGAATAAATTCGCTAGGATTAGGGGTTTTAGTGTTGTTGATGGATTTTGACACGCTTGGCCTTTCAAACCAATGTGATCAGCTCTTCTATTCACTATCATAAAGCTCAATGATCGATCAGGAGATATAAGATGTTGCCATTTTCTGCTGCCATGGTGCAATTCTGCACCATTCAATAATTCAGTAACTATTGACAAAATACCATGTAATAATAGCTTTTTCACTGAATATCTTTTACTGAATCCATGGTGATTGCTGAGTTTTTTTTTTTTTTTTTTTTTCGATTCAAAATGGAAGGCAAGAACACCTAATTTTAATCATGTATTAATCCTAGGATTAATTTCAAAGCTGTCGCATTTATCACCAACTCAAAACAATGATAAAACACAACCAAGCACAATATTGGTTGCATAAATTGCACCTTCAAATTTTCTTAACAAGATTTTTACATGGTCTATAAATATTTACCCTGCAATAGAGTGCTAAATGGACTCATAACCTGCCACAGAAGATTGACGGTACAACTTGCCGTGTATTAAATATTTACTTTCAATCATTCAATAGTGCCTTCATCTATTTATTTTGACTCACCTGTTCGTAGGTGCACAAGAAAATATTATTGTAGCCCCGGTGAAACCTGATATTGTCATCATTATATCTGTAGATGCGTATTTAGTAAATGTAAACCTGCAACTAGACTCGCAATCAATTAGTATGATGTAAATTATAGTAGCATATGTCAATTGAAAAATCTTATACAGGCGTCAGATTGATCTTGGTTCCATCTCGAATGGGTACCCAAATGGTCCACCAATAAGGGCTGCATCTTCCATGGTAAAGTGCTAGGTCTTTGTGCCAGATTTGCTGCATTAGGCAATATGTAAGATCAAGTTTCAAACTAATTTATGAAACGTTAGTGCATTCAATGAAGCAGGGAATTGTAAACTAATAGCTTACGCCTGTAGAAAGAAATGAACAAAACATTTTTAACACATTTTCCATCTTGAGTCCCATAAGTTTTACTTTGATGTTATCTACTAATCTTTTTATTTACTTTTTTTTTTTGAGTAAGATAGCTCGAATTAGAGGTGTAATCAACCTGGGTATTAGTATGCTTGAACTTTACTTACTCCATAAGTTAAGTTAGCTGAGCTTGACTCGACAATGATAGAGTCGCGTTTGAGTTTTATTGGAATCGAATCTGAATAACTTACAAGCTTAGGTGTATCTAGGGATAAGAAAAAATCCAAAAAAATCGAAAATTGATTTGAAACTATAGTATTCAGTTTGATTTAGATTTATTTTTTTCTTATTTAGTTAAGATTAAGTTCGGATTAAATTTCAGATCAAAAAGTGAAAAATTAAAAAATCGAACTGAACCAATCAAATTATATATTTTTTAATGAGCTTTTTATATCAATTTTAAATTTTTATAAATAAAAATAATTATTTTTATATCAAAATTATTTAAATATATTAAAAATTCATATTAAAATAACATATAAAAAACAAAAATAATTTCAAAAATAGATAAACTAAACCAATAAAATTCAATTAAGTTTGAATTAGATTGTATGAAAGGTTGTTTTAGATTGCATTGGATTTTAAAAATTCGTAATACTATGCATTATTAAAAAAATCAAAATAAATCAAATTCAATACAAACCATTATCATCCTTAGGCATATCATTTACATCCCTAATCATATATCTATATATAAAAGTGTGAATTTCAAAATTGTTAATAATTATCGATTTAAATATTTTTATAAATTTGTAAATTAATAAATTTATTTTTAAATATATAACTTTTTAAAATTTATTTAGTGTTAATTGTGATCGACCTAAAAACCCTTAGATTATGTTTAGTTTAAGGGAATTTACAAAATTTCCCCCGTGAATCTTGATGGTGGGTATTTATTTTTCACGTTTAGTTCAGGGTAATCTAATTAAAGAGAAAAATATCATATTTTCAATAGTATCCAAAGTTCAGAATCACAAACCTACCTCTTCATATGGCATTTTAGAATTCTAAGGGAAAAAGTTGCCTTAATTCCAAATTTGGCTTAAATAAAAAATTTGTCAGATATCCATTACTCTTTTGAAAAATAAGTTTGAAACTCAATTTTAGCTTTTTTCTTTTTAATTTTTCTTATTTTTAATTTAATTTTAATATATGACAATTAAGGCATTTGTAGGCGTTTAATTATGGCAAATAAGGCTTTTTTTTTCTGCAAACGCCTTATTTGATGCTTTTTCCAAAATTTTTACAAAAACATTAAATAGGGTGTTTCTTTGAACAAATGCCTTATTTGACCTGTTCAAATAATGCATTTCATTTTTACAATTGCCTTATTTGATAAACGATCTTTCAGAATCTTTACAAAAGTAAATAAGGTGTTTCTTTGAACAAATATCTTATTTGATGCTTTTTTTAACATATTTACAAAAGTAAATAAAGCGTTCAGCTCTTCCAAAAGCCATAATTGATTTTTTTTTATATTTTAATACAACAATTATGGCTTGATGTCTAGTTAAACACCGTAATTAGGTATATTTAATTAAAAAAATTAAATTTCTTTTCTTTTGTTGCTAAAGGCATCATTTATTGTTTGAATTTTTTTTTATTAAAACAAAATGAAGGGTTACCTATAATTTATTAAGGAGATTAAAGAAATTATATATTAATTAATAAAGTAAGATTTTCCCAAGCCAATAGTGAATTTGATTACAGGATGCCCTAAAAATCAAACAAAATCTTTGGTATCAAACTTTCTCAAGTATCACACTTTTCTATGGAACCTAAGATTCTGTGAACCAAATGTCTCTTTATAAATTTTTGAATTAACAAATTTATCCTTAAAATATATAATTTTTATTAATTTATTTAAATTTAATTTAAACCAACTAGAATTAAACATAGTATTTATGTGAAATCAAATTGTTTCAAATTTTAATTCCAAAAGTGTAAAAGGTGATTGGCTAAAATATCCTTAGTAAATCTTTTTATAAATTTTAATTTAAATGAATTTTTTATTATTTGACATTTTTTTTATAATTAGACTAAAAATATTAAAGGTGATTAACTAAAATTTCCCTAATAAAATTTTAATTTCAAAAATGTTAAAATTGACCAATTAAAATACCTTCAATTATTTTTTATAAATTTTAATTTAAATGATTTTTTTATTATTAGACTTTTTTATAAATAAAATAATTTTTCACATTAAATAAAAATACAAATAAAATATGATCAAAACTTAATATGCATAGGAATATAAAATTGGCTGATTTTAATTTCCTTAATATGCATAGGAATATTAAAGGTGATTAACTAAAATTTCCTTAATAAAATTTTAATTTAAAAAATGTTAAAATTGACTGATTAAAACACCTTCAATAATTTTTTTATAAAATTTAATTTAAATGATTTTTTTATTATTATACTTTTTTATAAATAAAATAATTTTCACATTAAATAAAAATACAAATAAAATACGACCAAAACTTAATATGCATAGGAATATAATAATTATATGGAATTTGTTTCTATAGTTGTTGTAAAAATAATTGTATATTGAATTCATGTTGATAAATATTCATTAAAGATAATCAAATTAAATCATTTAAGCAAATTTATTTATTTTTTCTTTTTTTTTTCTTTCAATTTTTGTTTTAATATATTAACTATATATGTATGTTAATAATTTTATTATTTATATGTTTATGAGTTTATCACTTGATCATTGATAACATATTTAAAATTTTTTAGTCCCTTGAAATAATTCTTTCATATATTATTTTTATAGTTTAGTCTTATCTTTATAATTAATTTCTCTTTTGTTTTTTTCTCCTTTAGAATTTTGTATTTTTTATTTCCAAGAACAAAAATCAATATAAAATTAAATGCAAATTAATTACAGCCCTCCACCAACAATTAGCACTATGTAATTTTTTGAACACTTTAATTGG